AAACGCAGTTATACTATATTTGGCTCCTAGTTTTGTGAATATATTGTTTCTTTCGTATGTAAAATTGACTGTCGCGCGGTGTTATATTTCAAAAAAAGTAATTTTGCTGCCTTTTCTCCCATGAGGTGATCTCTTAGAGGCTCGTATATAAGGACGGCTGCACTGAATAATCGCTCACTTGGAATGCTGGCGGGTGGAGCGCTCAAGTATTTGCGGGCCAGATCTGTCAATTTGTCGTATTTTAGTTTAGTTTTCCACCAATCGAGAGGAATTTCACCGAGATAACCTCGTTTTTCTTTAAGATAGGCCATCAATTGAGCTTTAATTTTACATTTTTTAATGTGTCCAGATTCTACATCCGAGTCTTCGCTTTCGTTGGAGGTATCTAAAATTATTTCTAGGTTGCTTATAAGACTTTTAGAAGTACTTGTTGGAGGCCCATCAATGTCGCTTGATATACTACTTAAGTGTTCAGCGCCTGAAGCTAAGAGCCGGTTATTGTCCGCACCCTGGCTAGACAGACTTAGAGCCATTTGAACAATGTTAGAGTGGACATTCGCATTCGCAAAACATTCGTATCATTTGATGCGAATGTGTAAAATGATGCGAATCATTCGCACAACGAAAGCGAATGCAAATATTCGCAACATTCCTGATGAGAACTACAACATACTACAGTCTTTTATCATATTATAGCCGATTTATGCATAACGAATATTTTCAGCCTGAGTAAACATTCGAAAACCAATACATTGCAGCTTATGCCGGCATGTCTACTACAGAGCAAACAGGTGCCACCAAAGAAGCTTAAGATTAGGTAAAAGGACCAAAGGCAAAAAAATGGGCATGTTATCGATTTTTTTAAATTTTGGATACAAGCTAAACAAGCTAAATTCTTGTTAAATGTTCATATCTTGATTCGCTGTATATACTTACATATTTACATATGTATGTGTGTAAACTATGCATAAGTATACTATTTAGGATGTTACATCAGACGGACGGCGCTACATATTTCCGTTTTCAACTGGAATAGCTGGCGCCGGCAATGGCCATAATAGATACATATCGATGGTCCTCTTCAATAATGACGCAACTCAAATTATACAAACTTGCAGTTGAGTCAATTAAAGTTTTCTCGTTTTATAATAGGCAATCATTAAATGGAAATACATACATATGTATTTGTAATCTTTCAAATTATGACTACCTAAAAGCATCGAAATTGCCCGGAGAGTTTTTGGGGAACTATGCTGTAGCAGAGTTCCGTGAGTTTTAACTAGGGAAATCCCAAATCCAAAAATTAAATTGATTTTTCTGAATTGAAAATTGTATCCTATATAATGTGCCTTATTCTTGTTTTCGTTCGAATCGAAAATCATGAAATTTTCGTATCATTTTCTATACAAAAATTTCAAAATTTTCGATTGGTACGAAAACCAGAATACGCCTCAATATAAATTTATTATTGGTTTCAACAATCAATTCATGAATAAAACGTATGTATTTGTGATTTGATCCGGCGGACAAATAAAAAGTTGATAGAAAAAAATTTTTTAAAACAAGCTTTCTAAATATTTACCAAATCGGACCATAAATACGAGTTCTCCAAATATCTCGATTCCTACGCCATCTACAGATAAATTTTGTTGTGGAGTTCTTCCTTTTCTATGTAAGTAATATGTATATGTATATTATATTTTTAAACTACATACATATATCAAACCATAGATGCAGGTTTTTGAATTATATCGAGCCCCGCGCCACCTAGCGTCTACATTTTTTTATAGAGTTATTTCTTTCATGTACACACGCGTAAATACAAGGCAAGTTAAATAAAAGCTTGTAAAAATAATATTTATTTGTGATTTCATTCATCAACCGAAAAAAAATTTATTGTTATTTGAGATTTGATTTGTCGAGCAAATGAATTTGATTCGCGATTTTCCAACTAAAGCACGATTTTTCGAAAAAAAAACATTTTATTTCATATTTGGTCGGCGAATCAAATCCAAAATAAATTTTATTTTTAATTGGTCAATAAATCAAATCACAAACCAAACCGATTTCTTTATTAATAGCGGATTTAAAATCAAAAAGGATGTGTTGGAATGACTGTTTTTGGTTAGATAGGAATCTGGGTCATCCCGTGCTGCGTAGACCCGACTGTTGAGAGGACGTGCAATGGTAAAAATTGCCAACTTCACAATGACACAAACAAACATTTATATGTTTGTTGATGTTCCACAGAAACACCTAATCCGCTATATACATACATATCTAATTTAAATACTTGAAATTTTGAGTTGTGTCGTTGTTGCAGAGGACCATCGATATGTACATAGAGTTGTGCACAAAATAATACTAGTGCGACATTTTGACAATTTTGGACTATTTGGCTCTTGTTTATTTAATGCTTATTATTTTTTTATAAAAGTCTAGCTGGTTATACAACAAACGCCATTTACATTTCAAACTTTGTACAAAAATTATAAAAATTCTCCAAAATTTCACCAAAATTTCAAGCTTTTTAATCAGAATCTTTTGGTAAAAAAATTGGTATGTAGTTTTGCAGCCCATTATAGTATAGTAGTATAATGAAGTGCAAGTTTTAAGTTGGTGAAAACCCCGTTGAGTGGGAGTATTGTTTTGGTTGAAGATGCTTCGCCTTTTTTCAATTCAAAGTAGGTATGTTCGACAATTTTCTTTTAGATGGAAAACACTGCCAGCAAAAAAAAGCCAAAAACCCACAGAGATTTTTAGCAGCTTGAAACATTCACTTTATTATATTACTTACAAATTAATGGGTTGCAAAACTGCATACCAAAATTTATTCTAAAGATTCTGGTTAAAAAGTTTGAAATTTCGGATAAAAATGCAGATTTTTGATGATTTTTGTTCACAGTTTGAAATGTGAATTTATATGAGGTTTGTTGTATAACCCCAGCTAGACTTTTATAAAAAAAATCAAATACCCGGCGTAATTCTATGCGACTTAAAAGTATTAATACAAATTTTCAAACAGACAAGAATTCTAAAAATTGTTGGTTTGACTTCTATTGCTCAAAAAGTGGCTCACCTGTTGAAAAGGCTGTATTGAAAACTAGCCAAAAGTGTATCTGGGGGTTTTTGGGATCGAGGAATCCATTTCTGGCATTAATTTTTTCTTTTGAAGGCCACCAGAGCGCGCTTCCCTACTTTTTTGGATTTTAACGCCTTTTTTCCGAAAATCGACAACATTGTTGCGAAAATCCACGAAATTTGACTTTCTCATTAGCAATTTAAATTTTTAAATAGCCTAAAATGTTCAGCGTTGAAAATTAGGGGGGAGGGAGGTGTATTCATTCACAACTTAAGTACATATATCGATTTTATTCAATTTAGGACAAAAAATTCGTTTTTTTTTTCATTTGTTCTCTGAATTTCACAAACCAAATTTTTTTCTTGTTTTGATATACTTTTTTTTTTATTCTAAATTCAACTTAAAAGATAAAACCATATGAAATGTTAATTGAAAAAAAAATACAATTTCTAATGTTTCAATTTTTAAATACATTCGTATAACGAATTTTTTAAATCGACATATTGTATGACAAATGACATGTGTGACAGCATGCTTTTTCATTTTCATACTGTGTTATGTAATATGTAAATTAAAAAATTTATAAAAATAATAAAAATAAAATATTTCAACGTTGAACTTTTAGGCTATTTAAAAATTGAAGTCAAATTTCGTGGATTTTCGCGTCAATGTTGTCGATTTCGGAAAAAAGGCGTCAAAAGAAAAAATTAATGCCAGAAATGGATTCCTGGACGCCAAAAACCCCCAGATACACATTTGACTCTGTTAATTTTTTTGGGCCCCTACAAATCGACCCGCCCTAATGTACATACATATCTATGGATAATAAACATGAAATAAACAAAAGACAAATAAGTACAGTAGAATCTCGCAAATGTTAACCGAAATGTCCCAAGGTCATATATGTAATACTTCTATATTGGCAGTAAGCTAAAGCTATATAGTTAGCTATAGTAAGCTATATCTATATAGTTATAACTTCTTAAGCTATATAGTTAGCTATAGTTAGCTATAGCTATAGTTAGCTATATAGTTAGCTATAGCTATATAGTTATAACTTCCTAATGTGTAAGCATTCCGAAATCAAAGCGAGACAGTCTAGTACCATTTTTGTCAATGCATTTTGTACGTGACTGCCGTTTTTGTATATGTGTTGTGTTCATGTTTATTTATAAATGTATGTATTCCTTTTCTTTCGTACGTGTTTATTGATATATCTGTACTGTAGTGTTTCGGACGGTACTAAATAAATATGTATATACCTCGATCTTTTTTTAATTTCAACTTTTTGATATATGTAGATTTAATCTGATTTGCGATGAATTTTTCCCCTTGTTGACATTTTTTAAAAACGCACAAACAGTACACAACTAACAAATTCAAAGGCTCGTGTTAAAAAGGAGTTTGGGGAATACCCGTAAACAAAGTGAGATCGGGCTTGCTTTTGTTGTCAAACAAATGGTTGGTTTAAAAAATTTATAAGCACAGAGAAGTTAACGGTACGGGAACGCTGAAATTCGGTTAACTTAGCCGAGCTAGTTAACTTTCCCGTGATTTTACTGTAATACAAACTGGTGAAAATATCGCACTCCGATTATTTTGTCGAGAACTGTGCGTCGTTGGGACGGCTTATAAGGTTGCTGGGTTATGCGGTGAACTTGGCGAAAGAGGGGATGAGAATGCAACACATACATGCATACATATGTACATACATACATATGTAGGTAAATATGGTGATACGGTCATTTAAGGGAAGTTGGAAGTTCTGTGTTCAAAACCGTTTGGAAGCTTTGTCGGCACAAACTGGGAATTTTCGGATGTTTAAATGCAAGCGCCACGTTTATTTTTCCTGAAAGACTGGCATGGAGCTTAATGCCAACAACTAGATAAATGTGGGATAATGGGAAAATCTACTCACCTGAAACAATTAACGCCTCATTTGGTCCGGTCGTATGAATGTTGCCCATCTCCGCTTAGTGTCGAGTGTTGATCTCTTATAGATTGTGATAAATAATGAGTAGGAGCTGCTCTTTTTTATTTGTGGCGGTAAATGCTTTTAAACTACACAGAAATGCACTTTTTTCTTATTTCACTGACACTATTTGACAATGACAACAAACGGTGGGACGAAAATTACACCTAATCAAACAAACAATAAATAAAATTATTAAAACAAAAAATATAAACTAATGGCAATATACATATAAATATTTAAAAAAAAAAACGTAAGAAAATTTAATTTTTTTGTTTAAAACGCGTTCGATGTCAAATAAATATGTAAAATATACGCGCTTGGTATTGCACAAAGATTTTCGTTTTCACATTTATTAATTAATTTAAATGCTTAATCATTTTCTCAGGAGCACTTGACAACATCCAATGCATATCGTATAGGCAGTAGCACAGCGCGAGTACAAGAAATGACGAGTGGGGTCTTGGGTGTTTGTCGATATGGGAACTACATACATACGTCATCGCTCTTCTTACAATTTCGACATATTTATTAATTATATGAAATATTTTTGCCACTTTGCACTAATTAAGCTTCAATTCCCTTAATATGATTGATTTAGCATCAATACAAATTCTAATTGGAATTGTTGGAACCTAATCCATTTCGTTTGTTTTGCTCTTATTCTTCTTGCGAACGCTGCGCTGCCGTCGCAAAATTTTCTTATCACCTAAGTTTTGTTAACCGGTTACACTTACTTTTTGCCACTATTTTCAATAGTTTACCTTTTCTTCAACTTTTTTCACGCTTCTTTTTCGCGTTTTATTCACTAAATTATACTCTCAGCACACAAATATAAGCAAAAAACGAGACCGCACAAGCTCAACACTAGAATCAACTGCAACTCACACAGATGCGTTTGCCGACAGCGCACCTGAGAAAAAATTGCCGTTCTGTCAATGACGTCATCGAATACAATCCACATTATGGGCTGCCAGACCTAATAAATTTAGCGGAAAATGTTACATTCCCACTACAATGATATCTGAGATTTCGACCTCGAAACCTTAAAATACTAGGGCCCGTAGTCATAGAGAAGTTAGAAAAAAGTTCTAGCGATTAAAATTGTGATTACTATATTGTGTTTTATAGTAATCACAATTTTAACTCTTTCATAGTCAACTTAAAATGCATTTTATGGCAAAAACAGAATTTTAACTTCTTACAGGTCTATTCTGGGGAAATGTTTAGTTATTTGCAGGTCATTTTTGGGGTAGGGGGCTGAGGGGGAGGGGCGTGGCCCCCTAAATCCCCCCATTCGAAAGGGGACAGCCCCCGCTTTACGAAAAGTCGCAGCCCCTTTTCGGGGCCTCCCACAGACCCCTGGGGAACCGTTTGAAAATGGGCGAAAAACAGCATTTACCGAGGGAAATTGAGCAGTTTGAAGTGGAATATAACCCAACTAACAGAATCTGTGGGGTTTTTAAATAAAAGAAGTTATCCCAAGGTGGTTATCAGGCGAAAGAAGGGGGGCTGAACACCTTTCGCAGAGAACACCTTTCTGCGTAGGTGGCCTTCGGCCGCACTTAGGGATTATAACCCTCAGGCAGTATAATTCTCCTTTCTGTGTAGCCAAAGAAGGGGGGCTGAACACCTTTTGCAGAGAACACCTTTCTGC